CGTTGGAAAGCCTCGCGTTTAGAATACGCCGTAAACAGGGAGCGTGTAAGTGTATTAGCTACTATACGAGTAGGTTGCGGTAACGAGCGCGCCCTCGATAGCTAGGTCCACCTACGGAGGTGGAAGAAAGTCGACTCGTTTTTAACCCTCTTCAACTTCTCCTTCGAAACTGCTTTTCATGCTTGCAGCGAGTTCGTTCAACTAAAACGCGGCCGCCTTTCAAATTTCTCGCCAGACTTTGGCGAAATTCGAATGGTGAAAATCGAACATTACGAACATTACGAACATTACGAATACGTGCATAGTCCGTCGCATTCGACGCGCGACTAGCCACAATTACAGGGATTACCAGAGAAGCCCACCGGAGAAACGGAGAAACGGCCGTTCCAATTTCGTGGAAACGCTCCGTTTCGCGTCGATACTCGGCTCGTGGGAGGGTAAGGTCGCCGTGTACGCATTACCGTATTTTAGCGTACACAGAGAAAGAGAAGGTACTGCCGCTTAGAAGTATTTCGCCAATGTTACTCAACGAGTAAGTAACAACGTTTGCTTTACGGTACAACGTTTTACACATCCTAGAGCCCTGTTGGAGTCGCTAGCAATACGCCGATAACGTTCAAAGCTCGGTAGATCGTCGACGAATGATAGTCCAGTTTCGAAAAGATATCCACGTCGATCGCGCGTAAAGCTCGCGAGTAAGAGAAGGGAAGGAAAGGAACTAGACGCTGGCGCGCGTTAAATGACCAGGAGTCGCAACGGCGGTCGTGGTGGTGGTGGGCCTCGGTACGGGAGAGCGCCTCATCGGAAGGCCTCTTCCTCCCTGGCTGTTTTTCCCCCAGGGCCATTGCAAAGTGCGTATCAAGGTGTTCCGGAAGTCCTCCGAGAACAGGCAGTAGATGTAGAAGGTGATGGAGTAGTAGATCACCTCGAGCAGATTGGCCAGAGCGCGGAACAGCTGAAAAATATGGTGGAAATTGGGAGGAAATTAGACGATGGAAAGCGATCGAACGGGGACGAATTACCTGATAAGGATAGTGACTTAGGTTGCTCTCCCTCAGCGTGACGTTTAGAATGACCATCGGGCTAACGCAGACGAGGAAGAGGATGCTGGTGCTGCCTAACAGGAGCACCAGCCTTCTCTCTTCCGCGAACGTTCTCGGGTCTTCGTCGTTGCTCACCGTCCTGGACAACGTCATCCGTCGCCGGCGCTCGCAGGATCTTCGGTAGACCACCATTATTCGGAGATTAAAGCCGGCCAGCAGTATGGTTGGCGCCACTTTGAAAACCATCTCCAGGACTACCTTGTAGACCTAGGTGGGAACGACATCGGATCACCGACGTGGTGTAAAAATTCCAAGGATGAATCGACGGTTAATGTTCGTTACTTGATAAAACATCGAGTCGAGGTAGGACTGATTTTCCCTCTTCTGATAAATGACGGGGCCGCCGGGCGCCAGCAGACAGGTGGTAATTTCTCCGCGGAACGCACTCGGCAGATAGACTAGAAATGTCGCCAGGGGGATCAGGATTACGGTTAAATGCGGCGGACCGCAAAGCGGACGAGTGTGCTGACCAGGCCGGCATACGCTTACGTAACGTTCCACCGTCAACGCTAGCAGCATCATCACTCCAACCCCTGAAACAACGTTCCGTCGATCCTTCGATCACGGTTCGAAGAATCGAGAGCGAGGGGCGAGGTGAAAAATGGATACCCAAACAACCGTTTCCCAGAAACAGTTCGAGGTGAGCGTGGTAGAAAGCTTGCGCCCAATTGTTCCATCGGCCTGTTTCCTTGTGTATAAGAACCCTCAGAGCGAAGGGGATGCAGAAGAAAATTGCGAGGAGTGCCGCTGCGGAGTAACCTGCAACAAGAACGTAACAAACTCGTTAGCTGATTTTTACGAAGCAAGAAATACCAAGAACAGTTCTACGTCGGATTTATCCTTCGCGTGGAATAAATTTATCCTTCCCTTGGAACGATGGTCAATTTCTCGATAACGAATCGACGAACGATAAACGCTATCTACTTTACCGAAAGTCGGTAACGTATCGGTCGTTGATACTGATAAGAGAGGAGAGGAGGTAGAAACTGTTTTAGTAGCAAGTAGTCGCGCGTCCACGGCGATCCCGTAAGATAGTTTTACTCGTCGCTAGAAGCGAGCGCGAGCCAGCTGAAGGGGAATGTACCGCAGAACAAAGCGACGAACAATTACTCACCGGTGACGTAAGAAGGAGTAAAACGGCAAAAAGTTTGGAAATGTTTAAGACGCGAGTGGGTATATCGAGCTCGGATATACGAGGCGGCGACACGTCCAATTACGCGTAAAAGTTTTTTACCTCGGACTCTTGGCCACCTGCGTTAAAACGGAATCGCGCGTTACGTTTAAATCTCCTCCACGGGTTTTTATACTCTCTTCTAACAAGACGCAACCGAAAGAGATTCGATCTTTGTTCCATTTTATTTTAACGACAACCATTTTTCCTCGCGGCTCTCGCGTTCTTCGACCTGGTTTTCTTTCTGCTTCTCCACGGAATCAAGGGAAAAATTTGATTTACAATCGATCGTGGTTAGTTTTTATCTTAAGCGGGCTCTTAGAGGAGGCTGTTTTTCGTTGGAACGGTGGACTACGTTCGATCACGCGGATAAACGCGTTTCTAACGAAGGGTGCTCGGCGAAACTCATATCGAATGAGATTTCGCGGGACCGTTGGACGATTGTAAACGGATAAGCGACGGATGGGAGAGGGTGTGCAAGCATCGTCGGTAATCTAATTGTAAGTTGTATCGCGGAGGAATGGAAATTCCAGGGGCGTGCGTAGATCTATCGCGCCGCGTGTTTCAACTCTGTTGGCAGAGAGAAGAGCGAGAGAAGGGGAAAGAGAGGGAAATTATTCGGAGAAACTGTGGAATCGTCACGGACTAGATTCGACGCGCGTACCTTTTAGCGGTGAAACGGGGTTTCGAAAGTTAAGCGACCGCTCAAACTGTCCTCCACTCCCTTAAATCGGACCGAAGCGAGAACTCGTTAGGTTCGCGATCACTCGAAGGTCTTACGGCCGATATGAATATTCCAACCGCTGGCTATTTACCGGGAAAGTTAACCGTTTGCTAATTGAAGTTAGCAAAAGTCGTCCGGAGAGGTGTTTCGCAAACACCGCAAACAAGTTGAGCTAAGCTAGAAGAAACTGTCTCAACTCACCGCTAAGCCATCGTGAATTAGCTCGAGGTGATATTTCCAGAGGACGGTGCACATTCACGGCGAGGTTCGAAGCTGAGAGGAGGGAGAGGGAAAATTGGCGCGAAATACACGCAAATATATGCCGTAGATATGCATGTATACGAGTCTGTTTTACATAATACGTGGACGCGAGGTTGGAGGGTAGGTTTCGTCGTTTCCGAGCACGTCTCAAATTGCATTTCCTTACGCACAAATTCTTCCGCCCCAATACATACCCCACGATTCAGGCACGTCCTCTCAGTTGGACCTACATCCTGCATATCGATAGACTTGGAACACATACTCTCTGCTTTCCTCATGCGTGTATCTTAGCTAACCGGAGTCGTTGGTTAAGTCGTCTCAACAGGAAGATGGATAGGAAGCTCCGAGGGAGAAAGCGGAAGAGAAATTTCGAGGACAAGCGCGCCTCTGTATTCCGAAAGAAGGAAAATACCGAAATCGGATTGCCCGGTAATTTCCTGCTAATGCCTGCTCGTCTTACCGGAGACGAACGGTGGCGACATGGAATAACTTTAGCCGACTCTTTCTAACTTACCTCTCATGTAGATGTAAGCGATTCCTCGCATGTTACGTCTGGTAAGGACGACCAGGTTTAAAATATTGCCAACGATTCCCAAGCAACAGATGGCAGGCAGGACGATGCCGTAGCTGATCCGTATCAAAGACGGCGTTCGAGGATCCTCGAGAACTTGGAGCTCTTCCGGCAGCAGACATATTCGTGTCTCCGTCGCGTTCGCCGCCTCGATCATCTTGCTCCCCTTCTCCCCCTCACCCTCTTTCGCGCATCTACATCCGGTCGATCACTGCGTGGTCGATCCCACGCTCCATCCAGCAACGATTACGAGGAAAATGGTTTGCGATGCCACAGGTGAACACTCGCCTCCGTCTATTTCACCGACGAATCTGAACGTGCTCTTCCGGATAACTTGTACGCGGCCATTCTCTCGCGTTCACCTGCAACCAAACGTTACTCGAACGTTATCCGCTAAATAGACTCTTTCTTTTTTCCAAAATTCTCGTGTAGAAAGACTCGATTTCGGGTGTAAATTCTCGCGACTCTTCACCAGGAATATCGTTTCTCTGTCTGGCCGGCAGCTGTGTCTTAGTATCGACCTTGTATTGTGCATTCGCGTCCCTTTCCAACTCCACGATTTATTCTTCGCCGGTGCTTATTTCACCCTATCCGAGCTTATTCGAGCTTATTCGAGCTTATTCGAGCTTATTCGAGCTTATTCGAGCTTTCGCTGGATAGCGAAATTGTTATATGTATATTTCCAGTTGACTATCGCGGGGTTATTATGGAAGAAGGGTCCGTCGTAAATTTGAAATAAAAATTGGATTGATTGGAGAAAGGGGAAAGATCTCGTCGCTTTCGAGCATAATCTCATCTTTGAAAGTAATTTCTCTAAAATCTGGAGCGTATCGGCAAGTTTGGCGGTGCGGTTCGGGAACGATTCCGCCGGAGTCCGATCGATTTCGTTCGATTATTCGGTGCACGTCGCGCGCGCAACATTTTTCATTTAAGTTCGACGGGAACCCGCACTGTTTTTTCCTCGGATACAGCGGACAGCGTGCGGATATTAAAGTCGAAATCGTGCAGCCGCACTGCCGTTTGCTCCCCGGAATCGGCCAACTTTTTCGACGAGAATCGTGCCTCGATTGAACAGACGGGAAAAGTGACAGCGTGTCGAGTGGGAAAGACACAATGTCAATATTGGGTCGTCTTCCCATTAGAACAGTTCTCTATTAACGTAAATTGACCGTAAATTGAGTCGTTTCGGTCGACCGAACGATCTAATTGAACACGAGCATTTCCGAATAGGTTGCGTCGAAAGTCTCGAGTTTCGAGAGGAAAGACGGAATAGCGAGTTCGGTTTCAGCCAAATGGCACTGTACACTTGCAACAGATGGTAACAAGTGGTTCTACAATAGGACAATATAATACATTCTGCTACGTAATACGTACCTCCGGGAACACATTTTCATAGACGTTCACAGATCGCGCGTGATCACAGTCGCGAACAGTTTGGGCGATATCGCGGTGCTTTTCAACCGAAAAGGCGTTTGAAGCGCGTCGCGACGCCGACTGAACAGTCTCGCGACGAGTTTCGTAGGCAAGTCGCTGGGACGCCGGGACGGCAGGACGCCGAGACGCATGCTCCAGGATACGTTTGATGGAATCTGAACTCGTAAGTGCCGGGGAATTACGATCCGATGCTATTACATTACCGATGTTAATACACCTTCTTACCTTCAACTTGGCACACTTGCCCAAGAAATAAGTGGAAGCCTATGGTGGTGCTCGGCTATTTCTGTAAACGCGCTAAACCCAAGCTGTCTGCGCTTCAAGCCAGTTTACCGCTAAACGTCGCCGCTGCGGACGCATTTTTCCGCGAATAAACAGAATTTAGAAACGCGAAGGAACGTTCCTCCGCGCTGTGTATCGCACGCACCTATGCACAGCTTAATTACATCCTTCACACTGGACCGCCCAACTCCTCGATCCTACGTTTCTCTTTCTTCCGTTTTTATCCTATCATGGTCAGCGTTACGTGTAAATTATCGGCCGACGTTACATTTTCAGACGCGATCACCAGATAACCAGTTACCTAACGTTTAATTCCCGCTGTTCTTTCACGCTTGGACGATTCGTTTAAAAGGACAGACGAGAATAAACATTATCCCGTCCCGGAGAACGGATTGTTCGATTAAACGCGAAGGGTGATTGGAAAATTTTCACGGTATAGCTACTTGTATGTCTCACCTGACCTGACCTGACCTGACCTGACCTTTTCTTAGCTTTTCCCATCGATCCACCACGATTTTATTATAGACGTTGTCGTCTCGCGTTAACCAGTTTTTCACGATCCACCACCTGCGGTCATTTTCGGGAATTATTCTTTCGGATAGGAGGACAAAATATAGGATGTTAGGAGCGGGCGAAAAATTTCATAAAAATATCCATTTTCTTTTTTCAACTTCATTTTTGCGTGTCCCTTTTATTACATACAATAAAGTACTAATAGTAACAGACGTAACAATAATTACGATAACGCGTATAGAGTAGAGATAGTAGTAATAATAATCGTAATATTTCGTAATGGGACACATGAAACGTTTTAAAACATATTACCTTTCTCTTGACACGATAATTATTTCTATGTAAAAGGTTATCAAGTGCTTTACAAAAATGGATTGCGACACACCGAATCTGGTGTATCGGTTATCACAAGATTACTAGAGCGCCGTAGCGCGAGCTCTTCCTTCAAAGAGAACTAAGCTTGTCATGGGGAAACAGAAATGGAAATGTTTCACCGTTTCGCTAAATGCCTAAGAAAAACCAGCTACAACAAGATGCATATCAAAACACGAATTTACTCTCACTGGGCAGGCGAACATCTTCAAGTTTCATTCTAAACATATAATTGCGTTACATGGCATATCGAAAACATTACACTTTTAAAACCGTCTAGATTCGTTTTATCCGATATCTACGATGACGACTTTCTCTATCGGTAATTGTAGGTTACGCTACGTTTCAAAATACCGGTTGAATTATACAGATTTTTGGAAAAGAGAAATCTACGTGTACATGGGCGAATTGTCGAACGGAACGGTTTTCACATTAAGATACGTTAAGATACCAAGTAAGAATGAATCGAAACTGTCTACCATGGTTCTAGAACGGAAAAGGGAATACAATGCGTGATCGTTTCCTGAACAGAAACAGCGATGATATTCGTCCTACTTTTAACTACGTATTCCCATCTTTGTTTTTAAACCGCTTTTAACAAGTTTTTAAACATTGTTCGCATTCGGTGTTACTCCGACTGCTAGCACTGTTTCGGGATATCACAAGACAGAAATACGAGTCTTTTACATTCGTTCGTGTAGAAATCGTTATATTACACGAACCAACTATTTCTCCCTCTTTCTCGTTCAATCGTACTCGCGAGAAGGAGGCTCTGTCTTGTTGAACAAACAGTCTCTTTCTTCCTGAGTGGATGGAACGTCCGAAATAACGGGCCTCAAAGCTTTCGGAACTTTGCTAACTTTGGTGAGACCCTCGGTGAGACCGCTACCTCCGGAAACACTGGAAAAAAGACTGAGATCGTCATATTAGAACCGATGAAAATTCAAAATTAACCAACGCAGAGAAAAGAATGAAAATTGTCGAACGAAGATATAATAAATCCTCTGCTACATTTGCATCGGTACAGTGAATATAAAAGTAGAATGAAACGACAATGGATACTCACACGACGTCTATCTCGTCGTCCTCGTCGGCTGGGGTTGTCTCTTCGTTCGACAACGTGAAATACGGGTTCGCAGATGCTGGTCGGAACTTGTACCCGGTAAGAACGAAAAAGACGTAGGTAGCCATTTCTCGGAACATTTCGTCCAACCACTCGTATTGGAAAGGTACGGTAATCTGTAAGAGGTAATACACATATGTAGAAAAAAGGATTGCAACCCGAGGGGGGAAGAAAGCGTACCTTAAGTAAGTACACTATGATCCTCGTGAAGTAAATGTAGCAAACTATCATGATGTAGAAATGCCTGAAGAGCTTGAGCTTGCGTAAGTTAACAGCTGCCTTGCCATCTGTGTGTGCAGCTTCCTGTAGATGCCTGATACTCCAAACTACCGGAAATAGAATGGCACCACAGCAAAGCAGGTCCACGAGAATGAAAACGTCTCGCCACGTTTTATGCTCGATATCTCCTTCCTCGCTTTCTTCGATTATTATCTCTGCCACGTTTGCCAATACCTGACAAATGAAAACATCTCGTAAGGTGTACAATCGCTCCGTATAATCGAGACAAATATCTATCGACTTTGCTAACTTGTAACGGTATCACGATCATGAACAGCTTTTTATCTTTATCAGCCAGAATGTGTTTAATGAATGTCCAGCCAGTGCCGACGAGTACGATCGTAATGAAAAGTACGGCTCCTTTCAGCAAATGAGTGATGTAATATAGGATTGCCCAAGCAGCAACGTGTTCTCCTTTTGTTTGAATAAAGTGATAGTTGATTCCATGGAAGAGTAACGACATCGACTTCAGATACACCAAAACCGCCATTAAATGATGAATCTTGAATACAGGATGCCTAAGAAAAGAAACGTTTGTAAGGAACAGTGGCTTTAGGAAAATGATGAAAGACTGATCAAATTCTTACTCGCTCGTCTTAAGAATGAATACCCAGAAACAACCGGATAAAAAGAATAAAAGTGCCATCATAAAATAGAGAGCTGGTAAAGGCATTTCACCGGCGCTAAGGAAATTTCCGCTGTTTATCTCCAATATTTGTATCTGTAAAGTATCGTTTCGTTGGAGTATTGTCAATGTGAGTGGAACCGTTCAGAAGGCTGGAACCTGATCTTACCGTGAAATCTAACGCGACAGAAGAATAATACTTGTAATTTTGACAGTTGTAGAAATAAAGATTGTAAAGGCCTTCTCCTTCCTCGCTGGCGACATATATAGCGAAACTGGCGTTGTAATATTTTTCTCCTTTCACGGTCTCTACGGTCATCGGTAGCTTGAGACGTGAACAAACGCTATTCTCCGATCTAGACTCCAATTCATCCTCGACGCCGGACTTCTCCATACCTGCGATCGTTCTATCATCGTTCAGCTGAACTATAATACATATGGACATGGTAAATAGGAGAATGAAAGGCAAGGTGCCATTTTCTTTTGAAACCCGTTGAAACGGATGAATCGAGTACAGCTCGGGTATAACACAGTGCGTATAACTTTGGTATAATCCAATTGAAATATCATTCGCGTGAAATATACTACTGTAGAAGACAGTTACCTAACCAAACCCTCAAAAATACTCGAGTTTCGAGTTATTTATAAGATTGAGGACGAGTCGTGTTAATTATAGCGACTCTCATCTCGGTGGTGTTCGATCACCGATGTCGCTTCAACTGCACATTCCATCAGATATCGATCATAGTCGTATTTAGTTTCACCACAATGTTTCGAAGAGAATAATTTGCCATTGAAAATGAAGAAGATATCGCGCGAACTTCTTCTCTAAACGTCGCAATAAACCTCGCACTATTAAAATCGTTTCGACGTATTTCTATATCGTCAACGAGAACAATCTATTACACATGTTAAATGTCACGAGGCACACGGTATACATGCGGAATACAGTATTTTCTATCCTAAGAAATGATCTTTTTATCGTTACACTCGTATTAATCAATGAATCACGTACGGCGTAACGCGCGCGAACGTGTGTACAAATCTCTTTATAGAAGGGCCATTAACAACTATAAACTAAGGTCGCGATCGATGCAATTCGTGCCAACTTCTCCACCTGTTAGTTAGTTTGCGTTACGACGGTACCAAGTTTCTAATGTTAGCAACAAACCGTTTTCAAAATAGCTCGCGGATGTTGCGACGTTTATTTTCGATATATGTACATATTCTCGAAATCAATGCCTCTCTCTCTCTCGTTCTCAGGAATGCGAATAGTCTTTTCAACTAATCTAATAGCGGAAGAGAGGAAATCTAATCGGTACTGTGTAAATCGTATCGTGGATTCGAGGGTTGGACGGGATGGGATGTCCAACGGATGTCGGGCTAGTGGTGCGCTACTACAACGCGACCAACTGGTATTAAATCATTGTCACTCCATACATAATCCAGTTCTATATATTACAACCAATCGTCACATGCCAACGTTGAAAGAAGAAAAGAAAGAGAAAATAAAACGATATATAGTAATGGCTGGAAATAATGCTGAAATAGAAATTTCATCGAACGCTGGTTCGACACTAACGGTTGGTAACGGTTGGTTACAACGAACTTTATTATCGCAGGGAAAAAATCAAGGCGGCTGAAAATAATCTAACTCTCACCGTACGAAGTGTACCGTTTCCTTCGTGGAAACAGAACGGTATTGCTGAACCTACTCGGAAAGGAGTCCCTCTTTTCCCAAAATACTAGCGCTTTGCTGGAATTTTTGTAGATGTGCACGGTGTGCATGTTTCGACTACAGTTTACTTTCAATCTGAAACACGTTCGTTCACGTACACACACATATTTTCTATATTCGGAGATTTCAAAGAGGTAATAAAAAGGAATACATTGTAATACTTACAAATTATTCTTCAAGTCCATGGTGAAATATATAACTGCGCTCTCATCCCTTTGATCGACATCGGACTTGACATTCGGAATGTCTTGGAGTGTGCATCTCTCTCGGTGACTATCTAAATATGGATTCATCGCATCGCTTAGCGTTCGATCCAAACTGAATCCAAACTGAATGGTAAAAAATACGATTACGCAAGTTATTGGGGCGTTACTTTCAAAACTAATTAGATTATATGGATATGTATGGTAGATTGTATTAAAAATTCAACTTTTATCGATATCACGATATCGAGGTATTTGCACACTCGTGAAAGCAGCTTAGTTTATCAAGCGCTTTAAACGAATATGAATGAACGGTGGATAACTGATTAAATGACACGCTACGTTCGTGCGTTCGTAACAGTTCGACGCAGTTCGACACAGTTCCGTATTGGAGAACACATAGCCGGAAATCGTTTCGAGTACGTACTTTCCTAGCGGTAGAGCTTACCACCGATGTGAATGACGGAAAATGGAAACAGGTGTCTGTGAATGGACGACGCGTTGCATTACGCGGACGTCTATCCTACGATTACTCACCACGGCATTCTCGTCGTAAGGCTCGGCCTTGAAATTGATTAGATTTACATCGAGAATGCCACCCTTGTAGAAACCGAAGGTACTAAGGGCTATATGTCGCCTTACATCTTTCTGTAACAGGCAACATTTCGAAACGTAAGCGTACTGCCAACTTCCGTAATCTACGTATGTATGATTAAGAAGCGATGAGAAATCAAGTTCTTGCGACAGATAATACCTCTTACGATTAATAACCTATTATAACCTATGCATTATCATCGTTGCTTGTTGAAATCTCTATCGAAACCTTTTACATTATTTCCTACATATTTCGAATCGTCTAGACTATTAACGTAAATCTCGATATGGTATTACTATATATATATATATATATATCGTTCGTTGTTTCTCTACGGCTTAGAAATGGTCAGGGAACGCGAATAAAATATCTAATACAGTTAACTACGATAACCGGTTAGAACGCAGTTGACGTAACAAAGAAATTCTGATAAAATAATCGGTAGTAAATATACACGCGTTGTTACTGGAGATTTCTTCAACTGACCCGTATTTCAAGTTTGTGAATTCTAGCAGCAGCTAGCACGAGTATTGACAAAGTCCAGAGGCATCGTATCAATAGATGTTTCGACTGCATTTTTACTCTATTTCACCAGAGAAATGTCACATCACGAAAATACAAAACAGTCACACTTCCACAATGCTCAATGTTCGCTCGTCGATACACGAGCAGAAACTGAGCCTGAATTGTAGGAACACTACTGTGATCGGCGGAACGGATGAATTGAACTGCGCGCAATTTTTTAAACGAGACTTCGATAATTATTGCTCGATGACTGTTAGTTTACAAAATTTACGACGAATCATACATGTAAATGTATAAAGTACATTTATGTAACAAAATACTCTTATTTTGTTAAGTTCTTTCTACTTGTAAAACTACTACTATCTACTTGTAACGTTTGTATATCTACTTTTGCAACACTTGTAATAAATGTTAAATAGAAAAAAAAAATTTGTTATTTTTTTCGTAATATAAATACACAACAGCAGCAATTCTGTCGGGAATTATAATTCGCGTGGGAAAAAAATTTGAAAGATCAAAGCGCCGTTGAGGTTATGTTTCCTTCGCCTTTAACTATTGCACGACGCGATTTGAAATTTTTTTAATGGTATGGAAAAGCATTTCGCGTCGTTGAAATTACTAGATACCGATACTGATTGGAAATTAACAGAAGCCGTCAGCTATTCCAACTTGCCATCCTCACATCGAATGGCGGTAAAACAAATCTATCAATCTGATAGTAAGTTTAACTTGGTTAGACAGTACAGCTGTGAGGAAAGTTTCGACCAAGATGCAAACGCAAGGTATAAATGGTTATGTGCACGGGATAATAAAATCACATAAATAATTGGATATCCTTTACTATTTCAGACAATTACAGGTGTCGGAAATTTTACAGACCGACGACGATAAGTACAACACCGAGTGTCAGATGACAAACTCTTATTCCGATTCGTTTTGGCGATTCAGTACAAGTAACGGTATATTAAAAGCAGCTAAATTTCTGCCAAACAAAGCATCGAACGAAGTGGGACAGGATAAAGTTGAAAATATAAGTGCTGTAAACGAATCTAAATTTTCGCTGCCTTGTACTGTGGCAAATGCAGATGTAGAAAATAAAACTAATCGCGTATCTTTTGCCGAATCTAGAAACTCGGGAAAAGCAAATACCGAAATAAAACGAACCGATACTACAAAAGAGAAAGAGAAAAATGAAAACACTTACAAAGATTTAAAGAAAAGGTTCAGACCACTGATAGTAAAAAAGAAAAATCCTACAAATAAGAAGATGAACGTGTATTACTGCAGCTGTTTAACCGTATGCATAATACCGGCAATAGTTGTAATGTTTGCATTGTTTTTCAATTTGGATCAAACAGAAAGAATCTGTAATTGTGAGACACTTTTGTCAAATGCCAGTCTTGAATTGCAACAGAAGATACACGGACAAGAAAAGGCAATTTCACGCATTATTCGGTACTTTGATGAAAATTATTCCCACCTGAAAGTTCTATGCATCATAGGTGGAACAGGTGTTGGGAAATCTTACACTGCCAAAATTATAACCAAACATTTTCCCCTGAAAAATGACATTTTCATATACGATGCAGTGCTCGATCGTTCTGTAGACCTAGCTGCACAGAGTTCACTGGGTCTACAACAGTTACTCGTTGTAGAAAATTTAAAACTGAAACACTTGAACATCTTTAGCGATATAATAGATGTCTTAAGAAAGACAAAAGATAAATGTGTGACAGTAGTTGCAATTTTCAACGTAGAAGAAGTGAATAGTTCTCTAGAAAGGAAGGTAGATCTGGTACAAAGTGAAAATGCGATTCTCCAAGCAATGGCTGATAAAAAAATTGATTTGTCGATTGTACCTTACGAACCTTTGAACGAAGAAGCATTAGAAATCTGTATAACAGAAGCAGCATTGACTAGTGGCTTAACACTCACAAGCGATCAAGTAAATGAAATTAAACAAAGTTTAATACTTTCTGGCAGTGGCTGTAAAAAAGCATATGCTAAAGTACAAGTTATCCATTGATAGCAAATTTGTCATGTTCCATATGTGTACATCTTTCCTATTTATTAAATGTAAGAACATTTTAAAGGCTGTTTATTAAGTAACAGTACACATTGCTCAAAAATAGTAATTATTGTTTCAAGTAAACATAGTTTTAGGACACTTATATACTCTAATAAACTGATATATTTTTGCTATTATATAGTTAATTACGGCGTTTGTACCTTTGATTTAATAATATTTAAAATTATACTTTGTTCGTTCGAGGTGCGTATTCTCGACCAAATTGAACGTACGAACTTGCGACTATTTGTTTACGGTAAATAAAAATTGTTGTGTGGAAATTTAAGGTGGTTCGCCGTATTACTTTTCAGATAGAATGTATCTTTGAATTCTAATAAAAGGAACGAAATATACCGAAAATTTGTATGTTTATCTACTCATTTAGATAGAGTAATTTGTAGAAGTATTATTATCGGTGAAATTCTTTCCCGTAAATTTCTCGAACCGTAGTCGAAGCATACCTACGAGTATAATCACATTTCACTTTCTGATGGTAAGTGCTGGAACTATTGCGTGTCAAAGCTTGGTAAGAAAACAGTACCGAAGCAACTGTTACGTGGAGTTACGTTAGTATGATCGCTACCGTTATGCAAAACTGTAATAATCTGCCTCGCTATAGATGTATGTATACTCGCGGCAACGTTTCCTCGTGTATGCTTTTTACTTTAGAAACGTTTAATTCTTACCTTAAGATCCACCGTACTTTCTCTTGTTCACTTTTCAACTAGATCAGGGATTACCCTTTGAGAATTGTGAACGTTGCAAATCAGCTGCTCTGAATTTTCATAAATTTCACCAACAGACGTATTACGCTAAATCTCGCATACGCAAAAAAGAAATTTCTTTCCTAATTACTCGTTACGTGGACCGATGACGTAAGGTAAAAAGAGTTACGTGCAATATAGCGATCGTTGGAAAATCAAATGTAATTACACGTTTATAGAATTGTGTTTTTGAAGATAATAATAGGTACCGGTACCGTCCAGTTTGTCTCATCAGTGTCAGTGTCATTTACAATTAGTTGAATTTTAACAGAAATACCAATACGTCGTGTACATAGACATAGTCTGTTTCATCTTCGTGTCAAATTTTAAATAATTTCGCTACTCCACGCTTTCAAGAGGCATGTAAGTTGTAGGAAAGAACGACACTTTCATTCCTCTGGTTGGTTTTAGAGAAAGAACGGGTAGTTGTGAAATACACCACTGTCATGGATCATTTAGGCAAACCTGGCGAGGTATCTATAAAAGACGGGCAGATCAATTTATCCAAGAATAAAAGAATAAACCGAAAGAGGGTATAATCTGTTGTTCGTCAAAGAGACATTGTTTCCCGAGTTTGGCGGCATAAGTGATCACATAGGAGCCTCGAAGGCGGAGCTAGAAGAAAGGTGTAACTGGAAATTATAAAAGAGCGGTCGACAGTCAAGAGGAAACAGTCTCCTCCAAGTGTTCACCTGCGCGACTACGAAACTGGTACGTCACGTTTTTTCTCTTTTTAATTCCATAAACTCCATAACGAAATTCTTTCAACTTCCTCTCCGATAGTTTACTCATTCTGGATAAAATAATTGTGAAAAAATGAACAACGGAACGTAGTTGTGCTGCTTTGAGAAAATGAACGCTACAACAGTACGGTGTAGAAAGTGAAATTTCAACGAAATATTTCTTAGATATGAAAAATTTCCAAGTTCATTTCTAGCAATTCTCGTTTGTCTTTTATTTGTACGATCATTTGTTCAGCTTGTTGTACATTCTGATCACGTACGGGACAGTTGTACTTGATCGAATCGATGTCACGGGAATTCTAATTGTCAGCGATTGTACCTCGACGACCTTGCTTCGAAAGGTCAGAAATTTTGGGGGCCAAGGGCATGAAACAAAGGTGCCCACGTCTTTCATGAAAATATCGAATGCCTCTACTGCAGAATCTGATCTGAGGAATGATCGGTATCGGAAAAACGACTTAGGCTGTAATAACGCGATAAGTAGCACTTTCTACGCGGAAGATAGTTGCGCGGTTTACTTCCCCGATTGCTCGGCAACCCTGTTAGTATTACGTTCATCGACATTAAGCGCGTTACTTGTTTTATTCGGAAAATTGCAAATCAATGAAAATAATATCGTTCTTCCTCGTTTGAACAGTCGGTCGCAGAAAATCGGGGAAGAAAGATGGGCGCGTAGCCTGATCGATTACATAATCGGAGAAAGTGGTTGCGAAACGAGTCACTCGTTGCTATCACAGGGAACACGTAATGCTCCATGGTGTTGGTATTCGGTCGAACATTATATCATAAAGCGATGAAATTGTTATGTCACCAAATGACAGTTGGTTTACCACTGGCTAAGTGTAGTTACCTGCAGTTTGGTTACGCGATCGAAAGAAAGTATACCTTTCATTCACGCCGTAACTTTGAACGATCGACGTCACCGACAACGTCACCGACGTCACCGACGAATCCTTTTATTTTCCTTTCAGTCTACCTTTTTTCGAGGGAAACTGAAATATCAGGATGGGCGCTATCGAGTGGGTAACCGAGGAAGACAACTACGAATCTCCTCTTTCGGCGGAAACGCAGAAACTTGCCAAGGAGGAGCTCAGGGAAGATAAAAATACCAGAGACCAAGCACTCGAGCAGATGCGTAATTGGATAAAGATGAATCCGCGTATTCAGAATTGTCGTCTCGGTAAGAGCGATTGCTTTTGTTTTGCAACAACGGTACGCGCGTATCGATACGCTTCTTGTTCGGCAGATGGAAAATTTTTGCTGAGGTTCTTGAGATGCAAAAAGTTCAACGTTCCAATGGCGGAAGAGGCGATCGAAAGATATCTGCTGCTTCGTCAAGTTTACCATCCCGCTTTTCATAATTTAGACATGATGGATCCAACGATAGAAGAGTTGCTGTCTCTGGGGTAAGGCTGAACAATTAGAACAATTAGTACACGTGGCCGTATACGATATTGGTTTAATTGCCGTACCGTTTAACTTGTTCGTCTACAGATATCTGTTCGCTGTACCCGGACGTGACAATAAAGGTCGCCGTGTTATAATTGCCAGACCAGGTAAATTCTCCGCCTGTATCACAGATATTGTTAGATCAGATTTTTAGACCAAAACCACGGGCATATTTCAACTTTCTCTCCCTTTAATTACCCACGTCCATTTTATCTTGCGAAATAGGGCGCCGAATCTAATTTTAGAGGAATTTACGTAACAAACGTGACTGATTGCTGTTACCTAGGTAAAAAAAAAAAAGATAACGAAGAAAAACGAATAGCACCGGGTACCGTGAATTTTGTAATAGTAGGTATTTACACTTTTGCATTTACTTTCCCTTTCGTGCGTGGCACGCGTGCTTCCAGGTGTTTTCGATCCCCATAAGTATACGAACGCCGACATGTGTAGAATTCACGCGATCACTTATGAAAGCTTGATGGAAGACGAGGAGAGTCAAGTACGGGGTTTCGTGCATTTTGCCGACGGAGCTGGTGTCAGTTTTCCGCATCTGACCCTCTTCACGCCCAAGGAAGCTGTCCGTATCGTAAAGAATGGCGAGGTACGAGCCTCGCTAGGCACTTTTCCATTTTTTATCTCTTAACTCTTATTAGATCAGAAAAGTATCTCACTTTCACCGAACGTTACGTTGTACAACCGTTTCGTTTCAAGGACAATGACGCAACCGTCACGTCTTGTAACGAAACAGGTTTTTCGGACGTTGTTCTCCTTTTTCCGAAGGTTGACAAACGTTCCGAGTAAGAATTGTCGTCGATTCACAACAACCCCGTGACAAATACGATAAAACGAACATATTGATTTTAGCGAACAATACCGATGCGACACAAAGAGGTTCACGCGATTAATACGCATCCTTCTTTGAAATTTGCTCTTGATTTCGGTATGTCGTTGATTTCCGAGAAGATAAAGAAACGTGTGAAAATTTACACCAGTCTCGAAGAGGCCGTCAATCAAAAAATAGATACGAGCGTGTTGCCTAAGGAGTACGGCGGGACGATGCCTATGAAAGAAATGATCGGTACTTACCACTTACTGTTAGTTCGCTTAATCTTCGTAGATAATACGTCGAATTGATCGATCTGTTGTTGTTATTCTAGCGCTGTGGCGAAAGGAAATGCTGGAAACAAGACCGACATTGTTGTGTCACGATAAGATGAGAGTGTGCTTGGAATTGTACTCCGAGAAAGCCCGGGAAGGCGCGGTGTCGGCTTTGAAACAGGGCTTCGGCTGCTCCGATATCGGCTCCAGTGATTCCACCATGTACGGTATTACTGGCTCTTTCCGAAAACTCGAGGTGGACTGATGGAAAGGCACTGTTGCAATCTTTATTCCTTATAACGAGTTATATTTAGCCAGTTAGATTTCAAACATGTTACGATACAATTATTTTCGTGAGCAAGAGAAGGAGTCGCGAAATTTCGATCTCGATCGACGCAATTGCAATACTTGTGCTCGATGAATCTCTTAAACGTTTAATTACATTTTCACTACTTTGTACTTTTTAACGTTAGAAGTAAGTAGAAGTAGGAGGGACTTGAGTTGGGGATTTTCAGTTGATTTCATAAACGAAGGTTACTTCTGCGAATTCGAAGCGACGTGCCGTTTCGTTTCGTTTTGGCTAGGTACTTGTAAATAAGACTGTATTAGTAGAAATAAATGCTTCTTTTTACACGTATCCCGCCTCTTTTCCTTTTCAATCTGCATATCGTATCGTGCGAACAGGGTCGTACACGCTCAAGAAGAGATCCAAGACCCGATAATTTCACGCACTCGTGCCCTGGCTCGAACGAGATCGTCGCCGTCCGTGTCTGAATCGCGGTACAAATCGCGACAGTGCGACGATCCTAGATAGAAACACTTTCTGTCAGGTATTAACAGACGAGACAAAGTATCCGATAATTACCTTTGATAAGTATCGCCAGCGAGGATGGATTCAAATCTTGGAGAACGGACAGCGCGTGCCAAGGATCGACGTCTCCGTTGGTGAAAATTACGTTTCGCAAGTCTGGTCGTACACCTCCGTACATTATATTTGTCCTTTCCACTCTGGTGTTCAAAAAGTCGTTGTCGTAACTGCGTAAGATAAATCGTAAAATCGACGATAAGAAGGAAACCTCGAAGGATGTTCTAGAATACGCACTAGTCTCCGTATAAATCGGTGCAAATATCTGTAAAGTAATTCAACGGGAAGAGAGAGCCGAAAATCGATTTCTTCGAATTTGTCGTTTGGAAGTACCCGTATTCTGTGCACGTCTGATAAAACCATTGCCTCACTGAAATCAGTTGTTATTGTTCGTTCAAGTAGCGGTAAGTCTGATTTTCTTCTGACTTGGGAGAATAGAAATTGTTCAACCTACTGATATCGGGCTGCGCGTCCCATGCTTCTTTCCGATAAAGCTCCACGAACTTTTCGTAATTATTTTTCAAACATTCCCTCCCCGTCGACACGAAATACGCCAATCTCTGGAGAGGACTACCCAAGTACGAAGCAGTCATGCTCTCGCAACAGGCGGCGATTTTCGTTTTGCCGTTCTCTACTTTATCGTATTGAACAATGCTGGCAAATGGCTGGTTAGACGAGAAAGATACAACTATTATAAAACTGAAGCGCGTTCTTTCCAACGATCCTACCTACCTCCGCTAAAATGTTCATAAAATGGGCAACGTCGTTCGGAGAGTCCACGTTCGGCGCGTCGCATAAACTGAAATATTTCGTAGAAATAGACGCTTGATAAATTGATAAGGACGAAGAAAAGAGGAGAATGACAATTACTTGAAATATTCTTTCAATCTTTGCGTGCCATTTTCGGTCTTGAATAATTCTTGAACCGCGTCGAACGCAGCTTTCACGTCGTCCACACATTTCTGACTGTATCTGCGGAGCGACTCGGTCACAACTTCGTAATACTCTAGAAAAGAATTGCTTGGACGTGACAGGCCGAAGGCGGGAAGGATTGGCGAATTAGAAAAGATTCGTATTTTTACCGTAAAAGTCGGCTTTCGCGAAGAGTGGAGCGCTGCTAGCCAACGCGCCCTGTATCAGATGGGGATACTTAAGCCTGGACCAAGTGGCCATACTTCCCGCGTAAGATCCACCGAACACGATTACAGCGCTGTTCTCCAGTCCATCCTGGTGCTTTTTACTTTCGATGAAATATGCCAAATCGGCCAGCGCTTGATCCACGCTCAAGTACTCTAAATTTGTCGAACTGGTGTCCCTAAAAGTATTTACACGATTTGGAAGTTGGCAAAAGATCGGAAGGAAAGAGTCTCTCACTTGGTCGGTCTGCTTTTGCCGTAATAACGATGCTCGGTGTAATACATGGTCGCGTTGTGAGCACAGGCAAGTTCGTACATTAAACCAGATTCTAAGAAACCGCTGGATATAGCCCATTCTCCACCGATCATGATCAAAATCGGTCCACCTTTCTCAAAATGATCGGAATTTTCGTAGTAGCGCTGTTGAAATAAGGTAAAAAGCGTGTAGAAGCTTTCAGATGGCTGTTTTGCTTCGAGTAGTACGTATGTAAGTATGTAACTCGTTGCCAGTTTAAAACACACCATTGACCAAGTACGGTTGTCGCGAGGGTTGAAATGATCGACAGGCTGTTCGATCCATGCTTCGATTATGTTTTCGAAACTTGTTTGGGTAGAAGTGTCTGGCTCTTCCAATCCGCGAAAATGAAATCCGTGGAGGCCAACGGCATCCCCCAGACGAAAGATAAAACACAACGACGAGAAAACACTTAGGAAGATCATACCGATTTGATTAACGGCTAAGCAAAGACACGAAATACTGGTCCGTGGGATGCTCGGAACTGTTGTTTTAATACCAGCAACTGAGATACGAAATGACCTCTTCCTAGCGTGAAAGCGAATTGGAAGGATTTATCTGATAAATCGATAGAAATGTGCACAGAACGATCGAATCGGTAATCGCAACCGCTCAATCACGATTGGAAGCACACGCTTGGTTTATCGAAAAAACAAAAAAACAAATATCGGACTTTAAGTAGAAAGATTGGTGGTACTCGAAAGATAGTGCTGTAGAACGTGTACAAATTGCGTAATTCTGGCTATACCTATTTGTACCTGTGTCGAACGAAATATGTATCCGGCTTAATCAAGCACTTCTAAGCTTCCTGTTCAGGACGGGATCAATCGTACCACGCCATTATCAAAGAGGAGGGAGACTCTTTTGAAAAAAATGAAATACTACGTTAAGTACAAAATATCGTTTTATCGTTAAATACATTTCGACGTGAAAAAGTACTTATTGACCTAACTACTTGTAATTACAACAGAATATCAACTGTCCGTGCGACAATTTCCAACAGGGTCATGGTTGCAGAGAATTTTGTACAAACGTAACGTTCATTATCCTACGTTTTCCTTGGTTTGCATTTCACCATCAGAATCTGTCGTAGCCCATTCGTCTTCGGACATTCTTTTCAAAATCCTCCGAGGCAGTTCCAACTTTTTCGTCTTTCTCTCTTTGACGACGCTGGAGAAATCAGAATCTGATGATGACGTGCTTTCCGAGTCCATTTGTTCGGAATTTTCTTTATCCCATTTTGACTTTATACGGGGCATAGCACCCTCGATTTCGATGGTACTCGATTTTTCGAACGCATCGTTGGATTTTCTGCTGGAAGAATCTTCGCACGATTCGCTATGATTTCTCGAGTTCTGCCTACCTTTTCCCACCACCCCTTTCTCTTTCCTCGAATACCTGCTCGACGATTTACGAGTTTTCGAACGATTACTTCGGTCGCTGCTTCTCGAATGGCTTTTACGAGAATGTTTCGGCGACACGTTGTACTCGTTATCATCTTCCCTCTTTCTTTGGTATTTCTTTAAACGGCTACGTCTTCGGGAGGACGCGCGACCATTCGAAACGTTATCGTCTTTGGTTTTTTCTTCGAAATGTTTTCTAGATCTGGATCGGCGACGCTTTACCGGCGTTTGGTCGTTGTTATCGGTAATTTTATCTCTGTCGGATTGCTCGTGCCGTTTGTCGCGCGTTGATTTCTGTCGAGAATCCCTCTCGTCGGAGTAACGATGACGTTTATCGATATTCCTCGAACGATGCCCTACCTCAGGTTCCGGAGATTCGGACCACCTCCAATTCTTATCGTCTTCCGCGTCGCTGTCGACCTCCCATTTCGACTTGTTTCTAAAAAAATAACAAAGATAAACATTGAAAATAGCGATGATACGCGATCGCGATGCTAAATGCGATTGAAATTGTTGACAATTGCAAATAAATACCGGTGTTCGTTTTTTCTACTGCTCGCGGATTCTTGAGAACCCGATGTCGACTGTTTCATCCACCGCGGTGGACTTTTAATATCGTACTCGTCGTGAGGATTTTTAAAAGTATGTAAAAAATTACACGCCCTCCCTTTTGGGCATTTCGACATTCCGCATACAGCGCTCCTCCATGATTTCAAGTTGACAAACTCGCAATTCAGTTGACGACCAGCGTACCAACGACCCTTCAATCTTCTCAAAGCCCTAGCAGCCTCCCTTTCCGTGTAATATTCCACATACAGGTTACCCCGCAAATGAACTTCGGTATTGCAACAATATTTCAGAGTCTTTATCTTTCCGAACGATTCGAGTTCTGGCACCACGTCCTTGTAGAATTCACGAAAATGTTGTCGCGTTTCCGAACTTTCGAATTCCAGTGCAATGTCCGTGTCGTATTCCGCGGAATTCTTCTCCAAGGAGAAGTGCGTGTAAAAACCAGGTACCAATATCACCTTGCTCAAACATACCCTGCGGTGATTCCTCGAGCAACTATCTCCGTATCTGAAAAAGTATTATTTCTCAAATCTCACTGAAATGGGCGTTTTTATCTTGTTTGGTAAGACAATACCTGCAGGCGCCCGTCTTTGTGAAGAAGGGACAAAGATCCTTTCCCGGTTGACTGTCGATAACTTCGCGCAAAGCTTCCGGTGTCTTGATGCCATCGTCGATGTAATCGTCAATTTCTTTCAACAGCTGTTCTCGTTTTTTAATATCCTCCTCCCTCTTACGTTTATCCTCTTCCTGCTTTTTACGAATAGTTTCCTGTTTCGCTTCGAATTCTTCACGGATTTTCGCCTCTTGCTCCAATTGTAACTGTCGTGCCTTTTGCTTTCGCTCTTGGAGAATTTGCCAGTCTTTTTGGGCTCTGACCTAAGCAAAACCGAACGAAAGGTGAGTAATTAGAAGATTGTTTCAACGTTGGTACCAATTAGGTTGTACAGCGTACAGGAACTATGTAATAACTAGCAGGTTTTGGTATCCACATTGTGTTAACATTATTTTCAAGGTTAGAAGAAATTGCCGTATAAAGTAACCTTATAACTAATCGAACGTGTACGCTACTATCGATCGCGGAAACAAAGTAACTCCGACAATGACGGTGTACGGTGTACGCTATATGCGTTACTCCTAGCTTTCTTAAACTTGAGAAACGATAAAACGTTGGAAGGACGATTCGGTTGATTAAAGTAGCATAGCTAATTAATTAATCAATAACGTAACGAAAAATTCTCCGATTTACCTCCTCCTCCAACCACAGTTTTTCCTCTTGATCGTGTTTCTCTTTCTCCCAAATCTCTTTCTCCCTGTCTTCGACTTCACACTGTTCCAGCCAATTCAAATAGTCCGCGCTTTTCTCGAGTGCTGCCCTCAGACGTTCCGCGTCTGCTTCCCGCTCAGCGGCTGCTCTACGACGCAGACGTTTACGACGTTCCCTTTTCGCTATTCTACGCCACTCTTTATGGCTCTTTTCCGTTGAACAACGCCCTTCCATTACCATGCATTCTCACCGCGGGAGAAAATATCCGCGTTACCCCCGGATAATATTACGAATTTTTCGAGACTCGTGAAACGAATCCGTTACACGTCTGACAACCAACTCCAACGAACAAATGTAGACAACACGTGCACGTCGCCATGTTACCTCTGGTAGAAGAAGCATCGATCAGAATTCTCCCTATCTTTGCAATTCTACTGAATTACGTAATGAAACGCGGTTCCATTTTCGTTAATCGACATACGTCGATGTGTTAAACGTGACGGCGAGATTTATAGTTACAGTGCGAATCTGAGCAAGTCGTTCGACTTGTCGAAGTGTGAATTTTCGTGAAACTGTCTTTCAATGATTTATCGTTTACACGATTTATTCTTGTACAGTTTCAAACACTATTAACACCACATAAGTTAACCGTACAATATACAAGAGATTATACTTTGTTTTGAATCAAAGCAAAGATTAGTTTGTTATTTGCACGTGAGTATTGTCATAGGGAATAATTCTTTTCTAGGGACTTTTATTTCTATCCCATTGCCGTTGTTTGCCCTGCAATGGTTTTCAAGTGGAAATCGTTTTTAAAAGAGTATACAATATATTTGACTATTTCTGTGTTGAAGCAATTTTAGATTTAAAAGATATTCATATTAGAAGCTTAGAAGATATTCATATTAACGAAATGTTTCTCTAAGCATGTAAAATTTAACAAAGTTGTACGTTGTCGTATATTGTTAACGAAGTTGTACATTGTAAATAAGTACCCAAGGTACATGTGAAGTGTGAACGAATTAATTGATATTTATAAATTACGTATACGTTATCTCGGTATATGGTGTCTACGGTTGTGTTATGGTAAAAGGAATTTTGTAGAAATTGATGCTTTGTTGGTTATTTGATAATTTGTCCGATGAAAAAAGTATGCGTAGTAAAAGGGAAATAAAATGTAGGATAAACGGTGGGAAGATCGAGAAGAGATCGTTTTAGTCGATTGGCAAATAAACGACGCGGTAATGTAACAGTGTTGTTAAAGCGCCACTTTCGAAATAAATCAGCGAAGAGTAAATAATGTGTTCTTGTTGTTGCCCCCTTGCACGTTGTACGACTTGTACGTTTGGTTGGTACGGTCCTGCAGGGGTGTACCGTTATACCTGACAGAGCGTTGAACCACAAATGGCACGAACCGGCGCGTTGGAATCAACTTGGATACTTACCGAAACGGTACACTCGCGATCAACTGTGCTTTTTCGAGGGAAATAAACAAATTGTAGATCGTAGAAAAATAGATAACGAAAGAAGGATCGGTATTGTAGAAAGAATAACGGGGAAAAGTTATCTATGGTAATAAATAAGGTACGACCGGTAGGAGTAATATCGTTACAAGCGGAATCGTGTGACCCAAAGCGGAAAGTGTGTGCAAGAGGAAGTTGTCGTTTCGTTGTTATTTGAACAGATCGAATTGGCAGCTGGCTAGCTTGCTTTGGTGACCAAGATCAAGATGAAGAACGCGTAACATGTACGATACGTAAGGAGAATCCAATGCAAGAAGTAAAAATGGAGCTGAGAAATGGGCACGTGGAGGGAAAGGGCGAAAAGGCAGGGAAGAAAGAGAAATCGACGTTTTGGGCATACGTACTGTGGTTGTTCGGAGGTCTAGTTGGAGCCCACCACGTCTACCTGGAACGGGACACGCAAGCTTTCGTATACTTGAGCACCTTTGGCGGTTACTGCGGTGTCGGATGGCTTCGAGATATCTACCGGATCCCTTCGTACGTGCTCGATGCGAACGAAGATCCGAGGTTTCTCAATGATTTTAAACGGAAAGTGAGGACGAATCGCAAGGTACGTTGGAAAGATCGATAATCGATTTTCGGAGATTCTTCGAAGTTGGTTAAACGTTCGAGTATATAGAAATGTGTCGCGCAAGCGAAATATGGCAATTAACGCAACGTGTAATTTGATTTCAGCCGCCATTTTCAACGGTGCGATTTGCTACGGAAAATGCGGTTGCGTATATGTGGGCCGAGTTATTCCGTAACGCGATTCCAGAGGATGAAATATTTGGGATTAATTTTCGATACCTACTATTCCTAACACCTTTCGTTATAGCATTAGGTAAACGAGTACCTCCAACCACCTATCGCATTCCTGGATGCACTTTATTTTTGTCTACGTTATCGCTTACTCATTCACCTAATAATTAGCTGATAAAATTCTACGAGGCCATGTAAGGCCGTGTTTCGTATTACTAACGATTGTACATACTTCATTAGGTGTTTGGACAGTGGGAAACATCGGGAGGGAACAAGGATCGATATGGATTGCTCTCGGCTCGGCGTATTTATTTTATCCAACTCTTACCTACATCGGAGACGATACCATGTGGGTATTTCTTATGGTCGCTGCTGCCAGCATAAGTTTCGATACGTTTAGTAAGCAATGGAGACTGAAGCCAAAGAAGAAAAGAAGCCTCGTTCGTAGAATGTTTTATCTCGGTCTGGCCGTTGCGATTTACATATGTTTCATAGGGTCCTACCTATACTTCAACGCTGTCATTACCGACAGCAACGGCGAAGAGATCAAACTATCGGAAGCGGTTCAACACTTCTTGACGTCACCTATATGGCTTGATCTTAAGGTTAATTGAAATAAATCCATCTGAAAATAAGCGTCCTAAGAAGCGTAATTTTTCGTAGGCAAGTCTCGAAGCAACGTGGAATCAAGCGGTTAATCAAGGGTTCTGGGCAACGTGGGCACAATTGGTGGATCTGACGGATCCTCGGGGTGAAATAAACGCTTACAAGGTAAATCGCTCGAAACTGATGGACGTGGAGTATCGACATTTGTGAACGTTATCTTCCACGTAGGTCCTCGGTCTTTCTCAAACGGCCACGCAGGCCGAAGTAACGTCCCGCTGGAGAACTCTTTCGAGGGACAATCATCCCGACAAGATAAAGGGCACCGAAGAGGAGAGGAGGCAGGCTCAGGAGAAATTTATGGAAATACAACAAGCGTACGAAATTCTCTCGAAAGCGAAGAATCGCAGGCAACGTCGCAACAGAAAGTCCGAAGTTTGAAAATGACTCGCAGCTAATTATGCACGGTGAAGAATCTCGAAATGACCGTGACACGAGGTGGAATAAATATCCTAGTAGTACATTAGCACAAGTCTATCGAGCATAACGGTGCTTCCTTTCTTTTTTTAAACGAGAAGGGAATAGTTTAAGATAACCATTTCTAATTTCGAGCAAAGCCTCGCGAGTCATGTTAGAAAACGATTCGGTATCTCGCGAATGTGTTTATCGTACCTACACATCCTTTGCTTCGAGACGAAGCGTTTTTGTTTGCCGATCTGATTCTACCTCGTTGTACTTTGTTGTAACAGTATACGCAGTATTGTTCAACTACATTCGAAGCACCGAACGCAAATGTTTATATGTATATGTGAAGTTGTTTGTGTAAATATTAAAGTAAAAAGAAAATGGTAGCATGCGAGGGATTGTTCGATACGACCTCTCCCCCCGTTGCGTTAACAAATAAAACGACTTTTATACGAAGAAAGTTGCTTTACTTCAAAGTTTGTTCGAATCGGTCGGTTGCGTAGTTACAAAATATCGCCTTACTCTCCTACACGCTCGAGTGTTGTAAAGTTAAAAACCGTAGAACGAACCGTTTGGAATCGTTTTAAAACTATTTATCTCACAGACAGGTCTAATTGACTCTTTGGTGTTTGCGACTTTCGTCTCGAGAGTTCTGCTGTTTCCTCATCGCTGCTACGCGCGTTTACACCCCTCGGGACGGTATTTCAATCTACCGAACATCAGGATGAAGATAAGCCGCGGGAAACGTTAAGAATTTGTGCGGAAGAACGGTAGCGGAAATTACGCGAATCGATGGGATCTGTAGCAGAATCTGCCGATTTATTTGTTTTTCTTCTTGGATCGTGACGGCTTGGTAGTCGTATTTTCGATCTTTTCCGTGAAATTTGACCCGTACTTGTCGTTCGATTGTTCGATAAAATCTTGCGGCGAGACTAGCGTGACCCTGAAAGAGTTTTAAAGGGGCTAAAATCGAGTTTAAAATCGTAGAAGAAAGATCGGTTGGATCGGTACCTTAATTGCGGAACGCTCAACGGTCGCAGAAGACTTTTAACTACAGGTGGTACTTGGGTGGATTTTGGTAAAGCGGGACTGCTCGCGCAAAGGGCAGCACTGGTTAGCTGCGAGACCAAGGAGAAAGTTCGATCCGGTCCGGAGGTTGTGCGAAACACCTTTCTTATCTTCGACTTGAATCCCGAAGAGGATGGCAACAGCGGCGTGGTTGGGACGGGTATCAGCTGGAGGAAAATATTCTCCCGTTATTCCCCGCTCGAACTTGTACCGTATTCCATCGGATTAACGTTTACCTTTCCTTGCAATACTTTAGCCGCCAGTTCGGGTTCGCTACCCCACCGACAGGAAGTCGATCTCTCTAAGAGTCGATGCCTAGCGAACCTCTCGATCACTTCGGCGCATACGTACCTTCCGCAAAATCTCGCCCACTGTTCCGCTCTCAGTCCTCTCCCGTGATCTCTCAAGGTTGGATTCGCGCCTAGAAACGGTCGGCCTCTTGGTTCAACAACGTTCGATTCTCGATCGAAGAAATTTCACTCACCGGCAAATAACAGAATTTTCGCGCATTTCGTTCTTCCTTGGAGTGCCGCTTTCATCAACGGAGTGAAGCCCGACGCGTTTCTAGCGTCCACTTCGATGTCCGGGCAGTTTTGAAGGAGGACGTTGAGGCAATCGGTTTGTCCTGAATGGAAGGAAGGAAGGAAAGAAGAGGCACGTTTTACGTCTTTCGAGCATGTTTTGGCTTGAAATGTCCGTGGACGTACGTCACTGCAAACCACGCGCGTTTCAAGTACTCTAACGTCGGTTATTTCTGGCACGAGTGACGCGGTGGAATCCTTACGGCATCGCGCGTATCACGATCGACCAGCACCCCGAGATTTTCTAACGACTCGAGATCTGCCGTGTTTTCGCAAAGAGAGTTTTCAAATGGCAACGTAACACAGCTTACCCGCCTGCGCGGCAAAATGGAGAGGCGTGTTGCCCTCGTTGTCCGGAATATTCGGATCCACCCCTTGGAACGACAGAGCCATCTCCAACATCGTCGAGGCACCGTTGCCGGCCGTGTAGCTTACGGCGGTCTGGTATCGGAAATAAAATCGGAAATAAACAATCTGGATGCTGGCTTTGGTACTCTGGAGTTTGTTCGAAAACCACGTTGATTAGATAAACTGGTTGTTGAAAGGAATTAAGCGGCAGACGTGAGACCTTCTGTTATTTTTCATTCTTTCTCTCACGTCGTTAACACGGGTGAAAAACGGATTGCGAAATCGCGGTTTCAAAGAGATCTGTTCACCGAGCGTCATTCATCCGAGCGCCACGGAAACACACTCACAATAGATCAATTTATTAAGTGGTTACTGACGTTCAATCTGCGTCAGAAACACGCGTCAGAGCAGAACTTGCACTGGTATTCGTCCAAAGAACGTTCGACTCACCCTGCCGCTGCTATCGGCCATATTGACGTCCACATCTCCGAACCCAAATTTTCGAAAGTGAGCCGCGATTTCGTTGAGCGCACCATCGTCCGCATCTCTGGCTGCCCTCAGAAGGGCCGATCGGCCCTCGGAGGTGGCTTCCCACGAGGACGGCACTTTTCCGACGATACTAGCCTCGCGGGCACTGCGATCTAACAAAGAAACAACCGAAGACGTAATCTTGGCGAAGAAATAATACGTAAGCTGTCAGGTAGACAGACACGTTAACGACGGACGTATTTATTTCTGCGGTAAATTAGAAGAAAGGAGTTACGAGACTAATTTCGAACGTTCGTCCCGATAACGATAACGACAAGCTTCCCGAGAACTAATCGATGTCTTTATTCTTCGTCGTCTCGTAACGCGTCGTCGTATTGTCCCGTATCTAGTTTCCTTTGTCCATT